TATATAACATGACAATGTTTATTTATTAACAACATAATGTCTATCTATTTCACATCGTATGTATGGTTAAGTTTAACATTTGTAAAAGTTTATTAGGTTTACGAACAACTAAAAGTCCGTATATAACAAGACAAGATTCATTTACATCTATTTCATTGTCCATGTAGTTAAACATTTATAATGTTAAACAATAGAAAGCTCATATATAATAGGACAAGGTCTATTTATTAACAAACAATGTCTATCTATTTTACATGGTCTGTGTGGTTAAATTGAATATTTGTAAAAGTTTCTCAAGTTTATGAACAACAAAAAGTTCATATATAACATGGTAATGTTTATTTATTAATAATACAATATCTATCTATTTCACATAGCCCGTGTGAATAAGTTGAACATTTACAAATAACACGATAAGTTTCATTTATTAATAATACAATGTCCTTTTATATGGCACACTTGAACATCTGCACAACATCCTTCTATATTAACAATATGTTTTCATAGATTTTCAAGAACATAAGTATCATATCTAGATAATTTACAATTGAATATCCAATATTAACTATATAGTGTTCATGTTTTCACAATACAATCTTATTTTTTACTATCAGAAGTTGAAGTTCTAATGAATGCTATTGTGTAGTGAAATGTAAAGTCATCTTCCCTGTTATTTTTTTTTCCTTTGGTTCTTGCCGTGAATGCAAGGGCACTTTGAGCTTTAACATTATTGGATGCTATACTAGCTAATACAAATAAGTAAAGTTCATAAATGTACAAGTAAAACTCTTAATATTCATAAGTACAAGTTCAAATTTACAAGTAAAAAAGTCTATATCTTGACAAGTAAAAGTTCAAAGTTGACGTGTTTTCAAGGTTCACAAATTTACAACTAAATATCCAAATATTCACAAGTATAGGTCTAGCTATTCGCAATTCAAAATCAAAAATTTCTAACTTCAATGATACCAAATTTTAGTTTTTATAACTTCCGTAGCAATTCCTAGCAAGCTCATTACAAATCCTAAAAAACTCTAGAAGACAACAAATAGATCCAGGAAAAAACTTACATGAAAACTTGAGTTCTAGACGTTTGATGCTAGGGAGATCGCTGGTGCTCATCTTGGAACAATGGCTATTGATGTAGGAAGAATGATATGCAAACATTGTTTGTTGATGATATGGGAGGTAATGAGATTAAGATATGTAAAATCTAGTTCTTCTATGTTGGCTCACAACAAGAAGGGATGATAGATCGAGAAGATAGAGGACGGAATGAAAGAATAGGGGAACTACAATGCAATGTTGTAAGAAGGAAGAGGAAGATAAAGAGAAAGAGAGAGAAGGAAGAGAAGAGAAGAAAATATCAAATTGTGGAAGGTTGGTTAGTTTTGGGTGGAGAACATGGGTCTTTTCCTACCAAAACTTATTTTCATTCAAGGCCCTTAAGCCTTCAAAGACATTTCAAATTGTATTTGGCACTAAGTACATTTTTTTCTCTACTAAGGGCCCTAGACTCCCTTCTTTTTTTTTTCTTTTATTAATATTATTTTTTCCTTTTTAAGCTTTATTTTTATTTAAACCAAGTCCTACCACTACTATAAATTGAGTTCTACACAACATATACTCAACTCACCCAACTTAGTAAAAAATCAACGAACCTAATAAGTTTAACTAAGTTTGCATCTAATTCAAATTTATAAATGAGTTGACACAATTTTATAAGTTAAAAACATAAACTTGAAGAGTCAACTCATGAATTTAACCAAATTTGCATCTAGTATAAGTTTATAAGCAAGTTAACTCTAGAGTTTGGCAATAATGCTTGTGTATGATTGAAATTTTAAAAACTTACAACTCAAATTTCTATATTTACAATTTGAAGGTCCTCATTCTATATTAATATTTTTAAGAAATCCTTAATTGTTATTCTCCCACTATTTTGTGCTATAAAGTTACAATTTAAGGCAATTTTAGAAAGTTAGGGTCAATTTTGAAAAGTATAAAATGTCTTATTAATTTTAAAAACTTTATTGATATATACAAAGTCAAAGTAGTTAAAATTAATTTATGCTACATCAATTGCTAGTCATAAAGTCTAGTCAAAATTTATTAACAATCTTATTTTTAATACTCTTATGGAGTACCATAGCAAGTTGAAGGGTATTGTTTGAAGAAACTAGGATGAACCTATCCTTGACGGTTATTGGAGCCCTTTGAGAGACAACTAGTTTAAACTTAATGTGGATGTTGTTGGATAGGGAGGTGTAGCGGAAGATTAAAATTTAAAAAATTCCTATTCTGATATGCACTAAATGAATTCATTTAAGTCAAAGTGAATAAGAGAGTTACCTTTTAATTCTTCAAACTTCATGCATGTTCTCTTCAAGATTTTGGATCTCAGGAGCTGACAATGTAGATCTACTCCCTCTACAAGTATCCACATGAACAATTCTTTAACTCAAACAGCATGCTAGTGCTCTTAGTATCCGTTCTTTTTTTAACATTGGTTTTCTTTTCTCTAGGGTGTTTTGTGACTCTCAAAGTGTTTGGCTGTCAGAACTTTTCTAACTCTCACTCTTTGCATGTCTCCTTATATCTATTATATATAGATTAGGGTTTTTACCTTCCTCTTAAAGAGTCAATTGAAATTTAGATTAAATTTATCTCATAAATAAAATCTTTAATATCATATCTAATTTAAATTTATCTTATAAATTCAAACTATAAAATTGATACGATATTCTTTCATATTATGTTAATTATTAAATTTAATCTATCATATAAAATTAAATTTAAATTTAACACAATATAATATAATATAATATATACTTATTATATTATATATATAAATATATATACATATATATTTCAAAGTATATATATATATATATTATGCATATTTAATTTTATATATATCTCACGCACGCGCACGCACATATGAATCTATATATATATACACATAAAATTATATTTTGAATTTTATATTTCATATAAATATTTATCAAATAAATATTCAAATATATATATATATATATATATAATTCATTCACCATATATTACTTTCATTGAATTTACACATATTCTAGATTCAATGAACTTGGACATTATAACTCAAGGGCTATTCTTGTATGTGACCCTATAGGCCCATGTAAAGTTGGCAATAGGCTAGTTACTCTAGCAGCCCACAAGTCACAAGTGACCTTTAGCAAGACTTTACAACTACCTAATTCATATAGTGATCGATGATCCGATGTAACCTATCATGCAATTGTATCACAGCCCTTTTGTCACGCAATATTTCAGTCAAGTATGAGACATGAAATTATCATTCTCCTTTACCTTACCATTACTTTCTCAATCTCTGAGTGGACTAACTGTAACAATGGAGAAATCATTTTTATTATAGTATAGCCATACATTTTCTTAGTCTTACTCATCGAGGGGCCCAATAATATCTCTCACTTAATGTGAGGGACAAATTTCATCTTGATCACTCATTTTTCTATGCATGAATAAAATTAAACTCAATTATAGCCTTTATGATCACTCAGTTAAAGGTGACTTTTGACTAGATCAAAATTCAATAGCCATCATGTAGAAATCTATGATGATCTCAGGTCAAAGGGCTAAGTGATATAGTTATACATAAAATAAGCTTATAACTTGTACCATGCAGTTTTCTCATAGCGGGTCGATCTAGTACTTTGTACTCTTCCAAGTGTCTCTGACTTTGATTTGTATCTTTATAATTAATCAAAGTCATAATAGTCTTGTTTCATCTATGATTCCTCATAGATGACCGATCAGGGACATTTAGAATAATCACTATAATTTGTCCAAGGATACAGTTATCATAATGAATATGCAATTGATATGATAATAAAAGAGAAATTCATTAAATAACAATGTGCATAATACAATGATGGACTCTAGGGTGCAATTTTCAACAGTGCTTTCTCCACTAATCCAAACACTACTAAATGTGGCAGACTGAATAGTGACTCTAAGGAGCATTTAGAGAATGGTTTATGTCATCATGTACAAGATGATTGATGGTGATCCACTTTATGCTGAATTTTAGGCTTATATGTAGGGCCTCAAATTGGCTTGAGACCTTGGATATAGGAAGATCATCTTGAAATTTGACTTATAGGAAGCCATTGATATGATCCATATTGATATACCCCTCGCTTACCCTTATGTTGGAATCACTATTGAAATTCAAGCTCTTTCAACTCGAGAGTGGGAAATGCATAGTCAATGAATTTTGAAAAATGCCAATGAAATTACTGATACATTTGCCAAGATGGTGCTATCTTGTGTTATTGAATTTTATCCTTTATTCTCCCCTTTCCCTAGTTTAAATGAAATTCTGTACAAGACATTAGTATCATTGTTTAGTTTTTGTTTTCCATTTTATATTTAAAAAAATATTGGTTGGATATTAAAAAATGAATAACATTTCAAAGCACGGTGAGTTAAATTGTATCGAAAGATAATATATATACAACTTTTTGGCCAACAAAAGATAATTTATATACAACTACTCTTTGAAAAAAGCTTTTGGTAAATTATGAATTAATATTGCACTGAAAATATTGTTTAGATACAATTACTCCTTAAATTAATATAAATTTTAATTTTTTCCCCACATGTACGGTTTTTTGGGCCAGATTTCCATATATGTATGTGTGTTTAAAGACAGGAAAAACTGATTTATTTATATTTTCATACATTATGATAATGATTAGAGGCAGTAAGTTTTAAAATTACATTTAGCGTACTAAAAAAATTTAAATAGGATCCTCATATAAATTTTATTTGGATGCAAGACCTCAGCATGGGGAAGAATCCTGCTGGCCCCAAAATAAAGCATGGGAAAGGGACAAGAATTAATGAAATGAATTAATAATTAATATTAATAAATTAATGAAATGATTAATAAAACTGATCATAACTCATAACCCTCCTCGGTCGAAAAAAAAAAAAACCAAGAAAAACAAAACAAAAAGAACGAAACGCTGTCTCAAGACTAAAGAAAGAGAAAAGTAGAGCCCTTTTCTTCTTCGACTAACATTCCGCAGGTCGAGCTCGCCGTCGGGCGCCGTCGGCTGTTGTCAACGCTGAGTGGTTATTTTCCGGCAAGTATTGAAAAAGGTTCGAACCCTAGGGCTTGATTTGAGTTTGTTCCCCGCGTTATCTGTTCCTTGCGTGGTTTTCAACCGACACGGACGCCATCGCACCGTATCTTGCTTTGCTTTAATTATTTTTAACTTTGTTTACTATTGTTTTTTTGCTTGAATGTTATGTAATTGGCTTTACTAGCTATGCTTTGGATTTTGTTGTTGTGCGGTGGTGGATTTGTTGTATATTGGCATTCTGTTTATTGATCTCTTTACATTATCATCATCATCAGCAATTTAGAAAATTCTCAAGGTATTTGTGATGCATGATCTGGTAAATGACGTGGCTCGATTTCTGTCTGGCAATTAAGGAGCTTCAGTTTAAATCATCTCCTTGTGGTTATTGGTCTGTGAATTTAGAAGCTATTGACAGAAACAGCCAATTGCGCACCTTGCTCACTCTAGGCAACACTCTTCATGATCATAATTGCAAGATGAAATTGGAAGATCATTATTGCTTTGAATATGTAATAATCCTAAATTTTCTTATTTATTTCTTAGGGGATCATCCGAGAATGGCTCAATTAATCCGTGAGTGGGCTGGAATCAATACATTTGCACCTGCAACCCAGACAAAACTGCTTGAACTTCTGGGAAAACTTAAACATGAGGTTCTCGTTTTTCCTTCAAATTCATGCATTTATAGAGAAAATTTTCTACTCCTATTAATTTAATAATTTAGAATTTTCTGCAGTTTGATTACTTATGGTTTCGAAGAAAATCTGTTTAAAAGAACTTTCTCTGTGTTCTTTTAATTTCTTATTTACGGTGCTGTAGAATGTGAACACTTTGACAATACTTGTGATGGGAAAAGGGGGTGTTGGAAAATCTTCTACTGTTAACTCCATCGTTGGAGAGAGAGTGGTCACCATCAGTCCATTTCAGGTATATGTTTCTCTCTCTTGATGGTTTAATAAGTTGTTTTGGCTGCTTGTTATATTTAGATGTCACTAAACTTTTAATTCTCGGAAAGTCGGAAGGACCAAGACCTGTGATGGTATCACGATCAAGGGCTGGATTTACATTGAATATTATCGATACTCCTGGTCTTATAGAAGGTGGATACATAAACGACATGGCACTTGATATAATAAAACGGTATGTTTCACTTTAGTACATCTCTCAACGCTTAACTCCACATGTTGTATTGCTGGTCTTAAGTTGAATGCTTACGGTTCTTTCCCCTTATCCTTTCCTTTTCTTTGGGTGGGATGTGCGGATTTTTGAGCAGTTTCCTTTTGAACAAGACCATAGATGTGCTTCTTTATGTGGACCGTTTGGATGCATATAGAGTGGACAACTTGGATAAGTTGGTTGCCAAAGCTATAACTGATACTTTTGGTAAAGGAATATGGAACAAGGCTCTTATAGCACTCACACATGCTCAGTTCTCACCTCCAGATGGGTTACCTTATGATGAATTCTTCTCAAAAAGATCAGAAGCACTCCTGAAAGTTGTTAGATCAGGTGCTCGGATAAAGAAAGATGCCTCTCAGGTACAAATATGCATTTTTAGTAATTGTTGTAAAAGCTGAATATCATCGCTCAAATGCATTTCTATTTGCAATGGTGATAAAATTATACATGGGAGAGACAAATTGATCATTTGAATGGAACAACCCGCATGCCCCTCCCCCCCCCCCCCCCAAAAAAAAAAAAAAGGCATTTCTCATCTAGGAATATGCTTGGTCAGAGCACGTGAGGAAAGTAGCTGGTTGTTTTTATGACATTTGGTCTCACATGTAGGAATCAATTTACTCTGGTCCATGTTGAATTGATGATCAATATGGTTTTTTCATTTTAAGGCATGTTACCCATTTACAATGGCCATGGGATACATGGTGTGATCCTGATTCCTCCTCTTGAGTTTTAGGGGGTGTTTGGTTTGAGGGATTAGGGAAGGGGATGTCCTCCCCTGATTTGGTTGAGATATTTTGGAGGGAGGGGCTCCCCTCCTTTAGCTCCTCTCCAATTTGGGGTTTTGTTTGGAGGGGAGCAAAATTTTTTGCCTACTGTGCCCTCAATTTTCAATTGATATTCCATAAATGCTCAGACAATAGACCACGTTTATGAGTGACCTTACCTTCATTGGAAATGTCCCTGGTGGCAAGAGCTCCTGAGTCTTCAACGGAAACTGATCTGTTAACCACGTTTCACATGCTCCTTTTCCTCACATACTTCACTGGAAATATTAATAGCGTGTGGTGTTGCCACTGTAACGTTTGTGGCAGGCCTCCACAGCAGTGGGGCAGCCATAGATTGTAGGTCCAAACTTTTCCTCCCCATGGTGACCTGCTCCCTCTCTTTTCAAGCAAAGCTGCTGTGTCTTCTCCTATCAGGCATTGGGAAACCAAAACTCGGATTCTCCACCACGAGAAAGCCATCCTCATCTTCATCAAGCTCTAATGGAAGAACTTGCTGAGCTGGAACGAACCATCAAAGCTACATTCCCAGTGGCTTTTGATTTCAATGTTTTATTACATATTAAGGGAGTTAATTTATTTTTTATAAAAAATTATTATTATAATTGGTTTTATATATATATATATATATATAATGTTGACATTATGATGAGAGTGAAATTTCATAAATCGTGCAATTTTATACAAGGAACAATTAAAAAATTTAAACTAATGTATAACAATGTAACGATAAATTAGTTACCTAAACCAAATAAAGATTCATTGAAAAGCCCTCCCCTCCTCTCCCTTCCATCCCCTTCCCTCCCCTGAACCAAACACAGCCTAGTTCAGAGTAGTATCAGTAACTGCCAGTAATTAAATTGCCCTACCTTTTCAGATTCCTGATAGAGTCTTCCTATATGATTTAGACTCTTTGGGTGCTTCAATGAATGCTGGGTTTTTCCTCAGAGTTTGGAGTAGTTTACATTAATCAAGTGTAAGGGTACGAAGTACCAGTGAACAGGTCAAGGTTTGAAGTGTGCTGTTTATGTTTTCTTTTTTTTTTTTCAAATGTATTTGGTAAGAACTAAATTTTGAGGTCCCCAAGGGGAAGTCTCATTTGGGATAATATTGTATTGCTGAGATTACTTGCGTCAATTTTTTTGGTGGGTTCCATTTGGAAGTAACCCTCTGTTCAAGTAATGCTGCTTGTGTTCCTGAAATTCTTTCCTTTGATGACTTATGTTGTAACGTGCTAGGCATGCATGGTTGAGAACAGTTATATATAGCAGCAGCAGCAAAAACTAGCCTTATCTCATTAAATGAAATTAGTTACATAAATTACACGATGCCATTGTGTTATAAACAATTAAATCATTGAATAAATTGTTAACGAATAGATCTCTTTCAATAACTTCATTGAGTGGAGAACAGTAATTCATACACTTTAAATTTTTGTTTTGCCTTTTTGTCTCCCAGGCTTCTACTATCCCTGTTGTTTTGGTTGAGAACAGTGGAAGATGCAATAAGAACGAAAATGATGAAAAGGTTAGATATTTGCCTGACGGTATTTCTTTGTATTCTCTTTAGTTAGATATTGAGCAAAGGTTTGCTTCTGAGTGACAGGTTCTTCCAGATGGTGCTGCTTGGATTCCTAAGTTAGTCCAAACTATCACAGAAGTCACATTGAACGGCAGTGAATCTATTCATGTGGATCAGAAGTTGATTGAAGGGCCTAATCCAAATCAGACAGGGAAATTATGGATTCCTCTTATTTTGGCACTCCAAGTAAGTATCTGAATCGAGTCTTGTTTCTTTTTATATCATACATTGACAAAGAAAGTAATTTTTCTCAATTTTATCTGCCTGTCAACAGTATTTCTTTGTCATTAAACCAATACGAGGATTTATCAAGAAGGATATTGCAACTGAGAGCAGGCCATCATGGGAGACGCATGAGAGCGAGACAAATTTTTCCGGGAGAGATATCTTTTAGCTTCGCACCTTTTTACTCAATTTTAATCATGTTTAGGTTCTACCATTAACGTGATTACACATCTAGTGGTTGTCCATCTTTTTCTGTAGTCAGTTTGGTGGGTTTCAAGAGAAATTGCTAATGCTAGTAGTTATGCGGCATGGGCTTTTTATTCATAATTTTGAGGTGACATCATCTTGCGTTGTGGAGAAAATAATCTCTTTTAAATAAGTATTGGATCTTGTAGGGTATGCTTGAATTGAATGGAGGATATTCATAGGGAAGGAAAAGGGAAAAGAAATGAATTTCCATTGAAGCCTTTTCTTTGTTTGGGAGTTATTAAATGAAGGGGATAGTGAAGGATTTTCTGATAACTTTCCGAAATCCCTTGCATGTTCTTCAAGTCTACCTGTATGAATGATTTTGAAAGAGAGTATTCCTGAACTATGAAAAAGAAAACAATTATTTCAGCCATCTCTTGCCTTCCAAGCTTTGTTCCTTTCCCTTTCTTCACTCTGAACTTCTATACTAGGAACTTTATGATTTTTTTTTTCCCTTCTCTAGCAGTAGAACCTGTTAACCCCAAGCATCTCGGAAAACTATTGCATCCTTATGTTGAGGGCTTGAAGCAATGTAACACATTCCTCGGATCTCCCGTTTTGGAAGGCAAGCATAAGGTGATATGATAATTATTTTTTAAAATTTTTTGTTAATCTACTTTGTGGGGAGTAGTCTTTTTTGTTTTTTGTTAAATATACTTTTAATCCTTTAATTTTATATGAGGTTATAATTTAGTTTCTTAATTTTATTTATAAAATATTTTAGTCAACGTTAATGCTGTTAATTTTAAATGATTATTTTTAATATCAATAATTGTTATTTTTAAAAAAATAAATTTAAGAATTCAACATTTGAGAATTTTGTTGATAATAATTGAAAGTATGATGTAAAAAATTTGTGTGATGAAAATAATGGTGATGGTTGAAAATATGTTTTATAAAGTTAATAAGTTAAAATGAAATTTTGCGGAAGGTTAAAGAATAAAAATTATATTTTATCTTTTTCTTATTGCGTACAAGTGTTCTCACATTAGATGTTATCATATTCAAGGTCTAATTGTGTATTAAAGGTGGGTATTTTTTCTAATAAAGATTTAAATGTTGGTTTGTGATATTATATCAATTTAATCATTTTCGTTAGGCAATAACTCCTGTTGGTACTGGAAGTAGTGTCTTAAAAGGAACGTGACTTATTCGATCCCAACAAAAAAAAAAAAAAGGAAGAAAGAACGAGGAACTTGACTGTAAATTGCAATTTGAGATCCACCCACTTCCGACCCCTTTATTCTTTTGGAGAAACATGGGGTTTAAGATTATTCATGAGCTATTGTGCATATAAGTTTGACAATGTGATTGGCTAAGCCTGGCGCCAAAATGGCAGGGAGATGTAAATCCATAGAAAGGGATTATGAGCAGGATTGTACAAGCTTTGCAAGAGAAAGCTATAGTGTGAGGTATTACGGTTCAAGTTAAATTTAATGTTTTCAAAATTGAACCGAACATCAAATCGAAAAAATTAACAAATCATGATTCTTATCATTCAATTGATTAGACCGATGGCTAAATTAGTGATAAAATAATTAAATTAATTAAAAATAAGGAATATTACCCAAGTAGACTTGACTAGATTTATTTTGCTAAGAAGGACTTGAGATATTAGGTCTTTTGTTGGCATTAAATAGAAGCAACAAAAGGCTAAAATGCTCGTGCCCCATCCTCTCCAACTCTCGTGCAATCGTTTTGGTTCTGTGATTTTGATGGTGACGACGAGTAAAGGGTATGATCCCAATAGCAATAGCAACAGAGGAACCCAAAACAATGTCAATAGCATCCTACCAATCCTGCGGTAGTGACGGACGATTCAACCACCCCTCCCTCTTATCTCATTGGTTTTTTTGCTTGAATTGTGCTTCTTGCATTATGTTGTTTGTAGTTGTTTCCTACTCAATTCTTCTCAGTCAGCTGCTTTGTTAAAGAAGGTGGTCAACTATCTCTACAATCAAAGTGTTGGAGGATGATTTAGGAAAAGGGCAGTCACTTCTTCTACAATGGGCTCTTTTCGTCATCGTTGTCTATGGTGTCGTTGGCACTTTGTGAGCAAAGGTTTGCCTTTTCACCACCCAATACCTTTAATCATATTTTGAATTGAATTTTATGTTTAATGATTTGGAGAAAATCAATCATGAAACTTGTTTGTAGATGGAATTGAATCCTCATTCGTTTTGAGGATTGGGATACTTGTGAAAGTTCATCACTTTTTATTGTTCTATATATTACTCTTTAACTTTTATTTAAAATTTTGGATTGAAATATATCTACTCTAATATGTTTAAGCTTGAATCTTTAGTTATAACAAATCCTCTAGCTTAAAGTCACATAATGGATTTCTCAACGTTACTTCCTTAGTTTTCATATATAAGTTTTACTTCCTTTCCGTACTTTCAGCATGATGGATCGGTTTGCTTTGCTTTGTCTTCATTAAATTGAATATTGAAGTTCTCCTTACATGATTTGCTATGCTATCTCATTTTGGCTTTTTCATTTTAAGTTCTTTGACTTGTTTTGCTATCAAGTTTGCAGTCAAAGGGTGAAAAATTTAAAGTCTTGCTCACCCTTTTTGCATATGCTTCTAAATTAAATGACATACTGGATGCAAGAAGGATATTTTAAATTTATACATATGTGTATACAAGCAGGATGCAATGAAAGTAAGTATATAACTATTATTTTAAATTTTTCATAATTTACTAGGACTGTAAGTTAGGTATAACTTTAACTTTAAAAATAAATTTTCTCAAACTAGTTTCCTCCAGCCTGGAATATAAACTAGTTTCATCAATTTCAATTTTGTCATTCATTACAAATCTCTTTATAATATTTCCAACATATTTGACATAACAGGACTTGGAGAGGATAGAAGCATTGCAAATTTGAGAGAATCAAGAGGCAAGGATGAACTGGTAGAAGAAGGTGGCTGTGCTAGAGAAGGAAGAGGCTAGGATGAGTAGATTAGGAGTATTGTTAGGATAAATCTTTTACAAATGTTCATGTCTGTAAAATTGTTTTCATTGGTAAAGCATAAATAATTATATACACATTTAAGGACATAAAATTTCACCTTTTGTAACTTTTATTTGTCTGCATATTCAATTTCTTGCTTCAAGTGTTATTTTACTTATTAGTGAATATTTGTTAGTGTTCAATTATTTTGCTACATGAAATGTAAAGTAAATTTATTTTAAACTCATTGTAAAGTGTAAAACATGAACCATGCATTATGTTAATGTAAATGAATAAAGTTGTCCAGTATATAAGTTGTTTAGGGACTTTCTTTCATTTCTAACATTTGGTTTTCAAAATATCAAAATGAATTTTCGTGAAAAATGAGCAAATTTTCAAAATATGCATTTGCGTTTTTGGAATATTCTTTAATGTTTTCATAAAAAATGAGCAAATTTTTATAATATTCATTTATGTTTTCAAAATATCCATGTGTTTTCAAAATATCAATTTGTATTTTTAAAATATCCATTTGTGATATCTTGAAACTGTAATATTGATGTAATATTCAAACCTCAAGTTTTAAGCTATATTTGACTAAAATATGAAATATAATTTTTCTTTCATTTATTTGAATAATCATTTTGGATATTCAAATATCACTTCAAGAAATTGTAAATAGGTTTTCATTTTTTTCAAATATGTAAAAGTGTTATTTAAATATATGAAAAAAATTTGCATTTTGTTAAAGATTAGTCGCATATCAAGGAATAAATATTATATATGCTTCCAAAGATATCTATAAGAAAAATTAATGAGCGATATTCAAATATGCAAAAGTGTTATTCGAATATGTGAAAAAATTTACATTTAATTGAAAATTAGTTGCATATTGAGGAAGAAAGATTACATATGCTTTCAAAAATATCCACAAGAGAAATTAATGAGTGATATTTAAATATGCAAAAGTGTTATTCGAATATAAAAAAAATTTACATTTCATTGAAGATCGGTCACATATTAAGGAAGAAAGATTGTATATACTTTTAAAAATATCCATAAAGGAAATTAATGAGTGATATTCGAATGTGTGGAAGAAATTTACATTTTATTGAAGATCAGCCACATATTGAGGAAGAAAGATTATATATGCTTTTAAAAATATCCATAAGGAAAATTAGTGAATAATATTCAAATATGCATAAGTGTTATTTAAATATATGGAATAAATTTATATTTTATTGAAGATCGATCATATATTGAGGAAGAAAGATTGCACATTCTTTCAAAAATATTTATAAGGAAAATTAATGAATGATATTCAAATACGCAAAAGTATTTTTTGAATAAATGAAAGTTCTCTTATATATAATTGAAGTTCAAATATGTATAGTAAAAGAATCGCTATATATGACTAAAGACCTCTATTTTTAGTATTCCAAAATGTTTCTAAGTTGAAAATTTTTAAAACATCAAAAAATGTTATTAGAATAAATGATGTTACATATAATAAAAGTTCAAATACATACAGTGAAAGAATTATTACATATGATTAAAGATCAACGCATATGGCCTTTTTTGACATATTGACATTTAAGGACCTTGTATTAAGTGTTGATATGAAATTATTGATAGCGAAAGACCTTGTGTGAAATATTGACAACGAAAGACCTTGCTCTATATTTTCTTTTTTTTTTTTTATAGAAGGGCATTTATGTCATTTAGCTCTCAACAATTAATGGCAGCAAAGGACCTCCTTCTCCAAAAGTTTCCAACTCCTTTTCAACAATTAATTTGGTGGTGAGGTTTTTTATAATAATTTTTCCTTAAAAATGTAAAAGTAAAATATTTTTATAAATATATTTTAACAGTATATAACACTTATAATATTTATAAATAATTTAAAGCTTACATTGTGCAGTTTTGTTTATTTAGTATCATTTATTTTTTAATTAGAAAATAGCCTAAATATTTAAAGTTGGCATGGAAAATTACAATCACTTTCTTAATGTGAAATAAAAAAATGTATTTTAAGAGTAACGACTTTTGCAAATATATCCTATGTTATATGACCAAATTAAATTAATAACCTAACATTTATTATATTTTATATTATGACTGATTTATTATATTTATTAATGATATATCATTATATATCTATGATAAATATTTTATAAATTTTTTAATAATAAATATTTTTATATATTAATAATAAATATTTTTATATATTTTAAATTTTTAAGAATTTAAACCATATTTT